TATCTATCTATCTATCTATCTATCTATCTATCTATCTATCTATCTATCTATCTATCTATCTCCAGATTTCTTCCATTTTCTTTCTCTCCTGTCCTCTTGCATGGGGAGAAATAGGCCAGTTGTAGGATTGCTGAATTAACCACTGCGAATCATTTGAAAGCTCAAAGTAATAAGGGCCTGTTTTAGAAAGCGATGGGTTTCCCAAGGAGACTGAAGGGGATTTTGCAAAAAAAGAAAAGAAAACCCCATAAGAACACTTAAAGTTTTCGCTGAAAAAAACTGGAAGATTATAGCCTCCGACAAGCTGGACCAAAGAATAAAGAGCAAACTCAGAATTCCTTTTTTGGCTACTCTTTGGAGGGATTGTTTTTAGGAGTCACCTTAGATGATCAGGGTTTGGCCCAGGCCTGCTTCCCCAGTTTTTCTTAAGTCCCTGGCCTGTTCTAAATCAGCGTGTAAAATGGGTTACAGAAAATTGAGGAAGAAGATGGCTTGTTCCTTCTTAGCTCATTGAAGCAAAAAATAATAATTTTTTTTTCTTGAAAAGACACCATTTGGGGCACTTTTTAAAGCAATCTTTCGACATTCCCCCTTGGTTAATACAATTTGGTGTGTGACCGTTGCTCAAGCATCATGAGATATTTAAAAACCTTCACTGTTCCTGGGACATTTCCTAACTTTGTTTTTTTTTTTCTCTCTCTCTGTGTATCGTCAGTATGAGGAAGCAGCCAAAAGAACGACCAGCCCCTGAAGAATTAATGGTGAGTCGGTCTGGCTCTACAGCTTCCGAGACATAAACCTCCAAAGTTTTATTGATTTATGACGCATGCACGTATGTTTATTGTCTTCTCCCCATAAGTTAACTCATATCAAATCTAAACTTTGCTTCCAGCACTGGCATCCAGCAGACACTACTGAGATCTCATGATTTCATTAGCATTGTTAATCGTCTTCTAAGGGTGGGATCAGACATGCATTAGCAAAACCTTCTTGGAATTTTCTGGCCATTGGGTCAAAAGAGACTTTCTGTCAAAGAGATTGTTCAGAGTCCTTCCTTAATTTGTTGAATTATGGTTTTCTTTTTTTAAAAATTCCAGATTTGTGTGTGTGTGTGTATCAATATTAGCATTTGCGATATCTGGTACTCTATACAAAATACTCTGTATTTTTATTGTGAAATGGGTGGGTGGGACATCATCTTGCTACGGTTTCTAAAGAAAAACCCTAATCTCTTCAAGTTTTCTTTCAAGTTAATAACAACATGAAAGATGACCCTGTTTCTTTTTCCTGCTTTCTTTAAAATGAGTATTCATTTATCTATTAATTTTTTTTAATGACTATTACATTTCTATGAGACCCAACTTCCAATGATTCTGGGCAGCTCGTGAAAAAAAAAAAACACATTTTTAAAAAGGATACAATCCAAAACAAAATAAGGAATAAAGGCACCAAGATCCTAAAAACCTCAATACCCACTTATAGCTGTACATCATTTATTTGGGTGAGAGGTATTGGATATTTTTTATATATCGGGAAAACCGAGGAAAGCGGATGGCAAGTTCCCATCAAAGTTAAAGAATTGATGGCCTTGATGCATAAAATCACACAACTCGTGTTACAACCTTTGGGCTGGACCTGTGTCTGTATACCTCACACAGGTATATATACCTTAGCAAATACACTTGCTAAGTGTATTTGTGGAACTACTTTGGAATCTAGTGCCGGGCACAGTAATAATTGGGAAAGGCAACTGTTGTTGAACATTTCACTCTATTGATCCCAGCATCGCAGGTGTTACTTTCTCCGTTCTTTCTTCACGCTAGGTGAGACGTTTGACCTTGAATCTATTTTTGAAAGCCAGTAATTTCTGTTGATGTTGAAAGAGCGTTTAAGCAACTCTTGATACACCTAAATGATGTGGGACTTGGTTGTTGTTATTTTCTCCACACCACCCGTTCTATTTCTGAGTACTGTTAGTTGAATCTGCCTTGCCCCCCTCTCTCTCTCTCTCTCTTTTTTATTAACTTGGGATGGTTGGAAGGTTCCTACACTTAGTCACATCTGAGAAAACTTGGAACAGGTTCTAGAGATGGGGATGCATTTACCTTACACAATGTTATTATTCTATGCCTGGGTGGCTTGACTATTAAACCAACAGAATGGGGTTTCATAAAATCCGTAGCTCTTTGTAAATGCATGCTTTCTGTGATGCAATAGGCCTGGCACTTATAAATAAAACATCTGCAGAGATCGCACTTCACAACGCTCAGTATATATCTGTGTGTGTGTGTGTGTGTGTGTGTGTTCAGAAGCTATAACGCCACTCCAGGGTGTAAAGCCATAAAGAGGGAGGCCAAGGGGTGAGTGCCGATAGGAACTGAGACGCAGAGTTATATATCTTTCCAACTACCTGCCCTGAAGTGCTCGGTTCAACTCATAAGGCAGTATCTTTCCCCCTTTAATAATTAAAAAAAAAGCATGACAGCTTCAAAAAGAGAGTTGGGCTTCTTTTAAGATTTAGTACTTTCTCTCCGGCTGCTTCTTCTCTTTCGAAAGCGGCCTTCTAAAAACAGCTGCTTAGCCGGCAAGGTTGGCCCTTCGGTCCTGGCCAGATCTCCATGAAGGGCAGCTTGGTTGAGGTCTTCTTCGTTTATGGATCTGTGAGTGACCTTGCTTGGCTACACCTGCCATTGCCTTCCTTCTAAGGTGGACTAGTGGACAAAGAACGGTAGATTGGTTTTTTCCGGATTCATCCTGATTTGCTCCTGGTTTTTGCCTACAGTGCAGAATTGGCCGGCTACGCTGTTCTGGTGGATGACCGTGACAATTTACAACAGTTATTTTAAGCCCCACCAGTGTTATTGGAAGGATATTTTTTAATGGCCAAAATTCCTGAGAAGGTGGCATTCTCACCTACAGTTCCATGAAGTCTTGAAAGATTTCGGAGAGAATTTCTTTTTAATCAGGGAAGGGGGAAGGAGCTGGAAAAATGACCATTTACACAGCAGCAGTTACTCTTCTAGCCCAGAGGTCTCCAAACTTGGCAACTTTAAGACTTGTGGACTTCAGTTCCCAGAATTCCTCAGCCAGCATAGAGGAATTCTGGGAGTTGAAGTCCACAAGTCTTAAAGTTGCCAGATTTGAGGACTCCTGTAATCTTGTTTTCCTCAGGCGAAGAAGCCCTGTTGATGTGTTCAAATAGCATTTTCATCTTAACCGTACAGTTGAACTGCACTCATTTCTCTGTCTTGTTTAAATGCCGTCAGGATGATGGATTTTTAAAAAATCTTTTAGCCAGACAACACAAGGCATTGGCCATCTTTTTGGACAGATGCGTTGAGTTTTGCCAAGGAGATAGCAAGAGAGAAACGGTTGGGCATAGACCAGTTGGAGCAATGACCAAAAATTAAGCTACTACAGGTAGCTCTTGACTTACAGTCACAATTGGGACCAGAATTTTGGTCACTAAGGGATTTGGTCATTAAGCAAACCATGTAACCCGACCTGATTTTACAACAATGTTTGCTGTGGTCATTAAGTGAATGCAGCATCCCCAATTGACTTTAGCTGTCAGAAACCACTGAAAAGATCCCAAATTGTGAGCACATGACCACAAGACTGCAGCCATCATAATTGCAAGCTGGTTGCCAAATGCCTGAATTGCACTCCCCTGACCATGGGGCTGTTGCAACAGTCATGTGAAGATGCGTCAAAAATCGCCTTTTCTGAGGCCGTTGTAACTTTGAACCCCCGTTAAATAAATGGTTGCAAATCGAGGAAGTTCCTGGACAAGACCAGCTCTCTAACTGATTCCTTAGCTATAGAATGAGAAAAAAGCTAGAAAAAAGCTACTTTAGAATAATACTATCGACCATTTAATCTAATAAACAATGGCAGAAAAGTGAATACAGTGGTTCCTGGGTACTCAGCATTAATTGGTTATGGGAGGCTACAAACTGAATGCCAAACTAACCATGTGACTCTTCATTTTGGCCATTAAAATCTTTCTGTCTGTCCTTTTTCCTACGTCATCCACCTTCCCAGTATGGCTGACTTCCTGTCTGCCCTCTGCAGCTGTTACCCTTATCTTCTTGCAATGCACCGAACACTAAAGAAACTACGAGTACTGGGGCAACATTTTTGCATCAAAATGCACCCAGTACCAAATTTGACGAGTTTCGAATCCGTTGAAGACACGGGTACCATTGCATTGCAGTGTTTCACCTCTCCGTTAGCTAAATCAGGACATGTGGCTCTACAAATCCAGTTTTTTACTGTTATTTATCATCATCTTTTCCAACATCTCTGTGGAATGCTGTCCACCAGGACTAAGCCTTGGTGTATGCAAGACTGGCCCACTGAGAAGGCCTTCCACGGATTTGCTTTCTGTGAGAGCATTAACGCTCAGAGAGAACCTCTCGGCAACATGAATGTAGAGAAAAGGAAAGTCCTACACTTAGGCAAGAAAAGTCAAAGGAACATGTACGAATTAGGTGACACCTGGGTTAACAGAAGTAACTGCGAGAGGGATTTTGGCGTCCTAGTGGACAATCAAATATGAGCCAGCAGTGTGTTGCAGCAGCCAATGCAATCCTAAATTGCATTAACAGAGAGATAAAATCAAGATCATGTGAGGTACTAATACTGCTCTGTAAAGCCTTTGTAAGGCCACACCTAGAGTACTGCATCCAGGTTTGGTCCCCGCACCATACAAAGGATGTTGAGACTCTAGAAAGAGTGCAGAGAAGAGCAACCAGGATGATGAGAGGACTGGAGACTAAAACGTATGAAGAACGGTTGCAGGAACTGGGCTTGGCCAGTCTAGTGAAGAGAAGGACCAGGGGAGACGTGATAGCAGTCTTTCAATATTTGAAGGGCTGCCACAGAGAGGAGGAAGAAGGGGGTCAAGCTGTTTTCCAAAGCCCCCGAAGGCCAGACAAGGAATAATGGATAGAAACTGATCAAGGAGAGATTTAACCTGGAAATAAGGAGGAATTTTCTGACAATGGGAACCATCAACAATGGAACTGCTTGTCTTCAGAAATTGTGGGAGCTTCATCACTGGAGGCTTTGTCAGAAATGCTACAGGGTCTCCTGCTTGAGCAAGGGGTTGGACTAGATGACCTACAAGGTCCCTTCCAACTCCGTGATTCTAAGTTCTAATGCAAGGCCCCTCAAAGTCTACTCCAAAGCGGTGCTCTATCCCTCTTTTGACTTCCTCTGACGTGCGCCTCCCAATCTTGTTTCCATATGGGGATGACGTTGCCACAGCATCAGCCGGAGCGAGCTTTGAATCGGGGTGCGTCGCCCTCCCTTAGCTCCGTCCTTTGCAGTACCTGACGGCGCCATTCCACCTGGCTGCCATGCTTAAGTTCCTTCATAAACTACCGATCGCTCCAAGAGGGAGCCCATTCCCAGCCTGCTTACAGAGGGTTTGAAAAGGCAGGAAGAAGAAGATTCCTCTTTATCTGTTGGCCGGAGGGACGCAGCGCTGCACAAGAGAGGGCTGCGTGTGGGACGCCAGGTCATGCGGCGTTGGCCACCGTTGGTTTTGGCCTCAGTGGCACCATTTTCCCGAAGCTTTCCGTTCCTAAGCTCTATTTAATGGAATCTATGCATAGTAAGTAACCAGGTCAAAGAGAGACAGCCTTCCCCGCTTGAGATCAATCGCTGGCTAATACTTTATCTAGGTCACTTTATTATCTCGTGGCGATGCCGTTCCCATCCACCGCCTCCTTTCGTAAGACACACTTCAGCTGTG